TTGTGAAATTCTATTGCATTCTAGTATAATATTATATTATACTGATGAATTATAGTTATTTGAGTGAGATACCTAGGTTGTTGTATAAATTAAGGTTAGAGACACACCGCGGCATCCAGTAATTAGTTATAAACTAATCGCTTGAAATTCTTCTACGCAGTAGACGAATGTTTGATGGTTTTACTTAATCCCAGATTTGGATGCCATCCGACTAAATGGGAATTATAATAGCTTTATAGATGAGCATTTTAATTTTGTGGCTGACTTTGGACATCAAACATTGAATTTGAATTCTGGTAGGTAGCAAATTAAATTTGGTTATTGATATTTTGGAAAGTAAAAAATAAAAAATAAAATTCCTAATATTTTTCAAAATAATCAGGGAAAACAAGTATTTTAAAAAACAGAATTTTTTTTTCGTGGTTGTATAATGTATTTTATTGTAATAATTGTAGAATGTACATAGATACTTAAAATTTTGACCAAACGTTTATGTTAAAAGTTTATTCACATAATATAATTTTTAAATTTTTTAAATATTTTTAAGCTATTAATAGATATTTGAAAATTTCTAGTTTTTTTAGTTTTTTTTTTTTTTAATGAATATCAATACAAAATCAATATATTATAATCATTACGCTAACTTAAAATTAAAGAAATAAGTATTTTTCATTTTTATTTAAATTTCACTTTATCAATTCTTTATTTTTGATACATCATTAAACAAATAACTATTCTTTATAACCATTAAAATACCATGGGTATAACAATAACATTACATCTAACAATAACGAAGAACATCTATAAGTAGCTATAATTTACAATGAAATATATATATTTTATGTACTATGTATGATGATGCATAGGTGAAAATTGAGGAGAGAATTAATGGTAGATGTGCTTATCTCTCCTCTCCCACCATTAGAATAAAAATCTGGATATACAACTTTGTAATAATTTATAAGAATATGTTTATATCTATATGCTTTAATTTGTCAATGAAATAATAAGATTAAATTTTTAACTTTTTTTTTTTTTTAAAGAAACACATTTTTATTCTATACAATATGCCAAAATGGTATCATAAGTAAATTCGATTTCTAAATTTGGTTACATGACATTTACGATCAAAATAAGAAGACTTTCAGCAGTATGCTTTGTAATAAGATAGTATTTACATTTTATACATACATTATGTGGGTATAACATGGCTGTGATTTTGTAGAAAAATATATTATTTTTAACTTACTGTAAAATATGAAAGACGTATCGCTTATTTTATACAAAGTTTGAAATAAGTACCAATGAATTCAATAAAATCAATTTTGAAATTTTTGATTTGATATGTCTTCTTGGGCTATTTTTTATTACTTTTTAGATATTTTTTATAATTATTCTCATCAATTAAATTTTGTATATACATTCCATAAGTTATTTTTATTTATACAATGTTTGTCTTATAAATATTTTACACGTTTTTTACGTACGTTATATGCCTACATTATAACTGTTTTACAGGCTTACATATTATTATATTATTTTGAACTATTGTGTGGTCCAACTACAGGTTTAATTTGAAATATGGATAGAAGTGATGAAAACTAATGTGGAAGAGAATATCTATTAGTATATTTGTATATGTTATTGTTGTCGAGAATATGGACAATGGATTGCGACAATACTATAATTTATAGTATATATAGCTATGATATATACCTTTTCATAATGGCTAAAAGTACTTAAAGCAGTAATAAGAAAAAAATATTATAGGCACGGTGTACTCACTTGTATATTATATTATAATAATATACGATTATGCTAGTGTTCGTAACTGCAGTTAAATAATATTTTGAAATTAAATATCTTTGAAAATTTTATGATACAACATAAAAATGTAAGCTTAAATAATTCTTTGTTATTTGGCACTAGTTCTAAATTGACGAAAAATAAAAGTTATAATCTTTTTGATGTTCTGTGAATGAGCGTTTTACGTTCTATCCAAGAAACCTAAAGTTGCGTGATGGGATGTACAATTTTGATGACAATCCGATATGGTTTATATTTTTTTAAATTTTAATTTGTATATTATAGGTACGTATGAAATTAAACTTGATTCTTTTAAAAAATTGATCATAACCTTTTAGTCTTAATTTATTCGACGATATAGTATTTAGTTAATACATAGCTAAGTACCCAGAAGAGTTTTTACAAGTGAGTTCATAAACTGGTTTTTATTCATTTTTTATTTTAACATAATGTATATGATTTTTGGCGGGATACTTTTTTTTCTAAGCAAAATTTTTCTAATCTTTGCAATTGCCATAGAAACCAAACGATAACAAATGTGAATTTAATGTTATAACCATGAACTAAAAAGATCTTAGTTCATGGTTATAATGTCAGTGACGTAGTCAAGAGAGTTTAGGTGTTGTAACCCCCCCCCCACCTGAATTGATTTTTATTTAATTATTTAAAATGCATCTTTTGAATAACTTTTTTTTTTTTAGTCTGACCCGCTACAATTTTGAGTACTGTATAACTGTACCACTGAATAACGTTATAATTTAGCGTTATAATACCGATAGTTACCCTTAGCAACGGACAACTAATATAATTAAGTTACCACCAAAAATAAAATATTTAGTAGCATGCAACGTTTTTCATATAATAGTTACACACTTCTTATTAAAATGTATTGGTTCTATCCAGACGCATATTCCGATTGGTATATGTTATAATCAGTACCTATGATAATATCATTTAAATCACAAAACTTTTGATAATCTAGTATTTTAGTGTTGATGAATATTGGGAAATTTTGTAATGGTTTCGTTAACCCTGTTGATTTTTGTTTTCTTAGGCATCATATAATTTTGTAATAAATTTTCAAATCTTCAAATATATTAAGTGTGCAAAATTATCTGTTATTGACACTGAATGTAGTAATTTTAATTTTATGGTTATAATCCAACTAAATTTAGACGTTTATGACATAGTTTGAACAAAAGACCCCAAATCCAGTTAAGATTGAAGTTTTTGTTTATATATTAGATTATAATATGATGTTTTGATTTAAATTTTATTCAGCGGCACTAATGGCTTTTGTTTAGTGCTCATTTGATTTTGTTTTTATAAGTCGTAAATATTGACTTATTTAATTTCATTACTGTAGATATCAATGGCTTTGTTTGTGTGTGTAATTTTTATTAAACAATTTTGTTCACATAAAGTGAAGGTGGTAGTGGCGGTAGGGGGGGAGTGAAATGCCATCAAGGAGTAATACCCACAAAAACGTGTTAGTTGTAGTTTCCTGAATATAATACCATTAATTAAAAAAACGATTATTTTTAAGTTTATTTTTTGTTCTAAAATAGCAAGAGCGTTAGAAAAAACATACATTGCAACTGAATGGCAGTATAAGGTTAACTAGGTTTATATATCTATGAAAAATGTCTTATCCTCGTCTAACTATATTCACTAAAAATAATTTAAGTAATTATTGAGCAGTGCAGTAGGTAATAATATAATATTAACTTAAGGCTAATATACATTTAAAATCGTGAAAATCCGACTTTATAATTAGTAGATATTGGGTAAATAAAAAAAAGAAACACAGCTAGTATAAATAAATTATATAGATTGAACATACCTACCATGCTACAACCTATGTCTTATGTCATATAGAATTTGAATTTCGGAATATATAGACTTACCTATATGCTTAATCTATAAAAGTAATTTTTTTATATATAACAGTAAGATACTCCTAGCATGTAGGCTACTATATCTAAAAATTCATAGGATTTAAGTTAGACAGTTTTAACATAATTTAAGTAATATTAATGGTGATGGTACAATGCGAAGACAGTAATAATAATTATATAATATGTAAATAAATAAGTAACGATACAAAAATAAGTAAAATAATAATTTTGACTTGTTTGATAACATAATAAAACTTCGACGTTTTATCTGAACATACATATAGGTACAGCAGTTAACTATAAGGTCGTGGAGACGACCCTGTTTTAAACGGCATTGAGATGGTTGTGTATGTAAGTTATAGACTTATAGCAGATACCTACATTGAGATTAATAGTAATAAATAATAATATATAAATACAAAACTACGTGATAAGTACACAAAATACAGAAAAATAACATAATAATAATAACATTAGATGTACCTATTATATGGAAGACTAGGTATATTTTTTTATTTCAAATTATTACTATTATTAAAATATTAAATTATTGGCCGGAAACAATAGAGTTGGAACGGAAAACATTTGGAAAATATTTTTTCTCGAAATGTATAACACTTGTATTAATCATTATTCATTATAGTTATCTAGAATCAGTAGAATCATATTATTGACTCAGAAATTTATTTAATCAGAAACGTATTTCGTTTGAAATTTCTTTAATCGAAAACGTTTGAAAAATAAACCGATGGAAAATATTATTAAATTGAAACTTATTATGTCGGAATATTTATTCGGAACATCAGAACCGTCTACTATGTATCCCAATAATACACATTTTCAGCGAAACATTTTCCACAATAATAAGTTTGAGCAAATACGATTCTGAAAAATATTATTTAGTAGGTATATTACAGTTTCTCATCGATTTTACGGTACATTATACGTATTATATTTCAAATCGAATAATTTCCATAAAATTATGTTTTTCGAGCGCGTTCGTTACCAAAATGATATATTTCAAACAGTTTCAAAATAGATGCCTGATAAAATTGAATGAAAATACAATCCCAACAGGCAACAATTTAATACCGTATTCCCGCAAGACATTTTTCTTGACAAAAATACAGTTTCAACTTTAATTTTATGCGAGAATCTATTGTAGTATGATTTTGATGACCGCCGCTGCACTGCTCGAGACGCGTACAGTGGTTCGCAAAAGTGCAAATCGGCGCGACCGCCGGCGACGGACAACCACTGATTGCGGCACTCATTGATAAGATCGATAACAGCCGCAGCTAATTGGCGGCGGACAGTAGTTTGTTATTATTTTGGTTCAATTAGATTTTGTTTTTGAATTATTATCTGCTCTTCTCGTTCACGTTCGATTCCTTTTTTTCTCCATCAGAAACCGTTTATTTGAACTATTGTCGGATCCGTTTCACTTTCGCGGTTGCCGGACACACGCGCATACCGATCCGTTATCGACCGTCGTTACAATATTGTAAATGTAAAACAATATCACCGTCGTCGTAGTCCCGTGGCCATCCGAGTCGCCGCCGAATGACGGTTGCCGTACCGGCGATGGTGGTGTTTGCTGACGGACCCGACAATAGACGTCTGCTTGCCATTATAATTGTCAGGTATCTCGGGCTCCGGTGTGGGTGACAGACGAGACATAATTGCAGTCCGTACATAATTATTTATATCGTCGATAGTAGGCAATCAATGTTTCCAAGGGAATAATAACTACGTGAGTAATATTACTTAGGTACACGTCGAGTGTTTAACATAGTACCATTCCTTAGGCTCCCCATTCTCGATGACATCATACGATGACCATTGATTAACCATTCGCGACCTTTCGTCAAGTGGGTGGAACACACTGATATTCATTAACCCATAAACTTCTTTGGATTCAACCAGTGTTATTCCACTTTATGGTTGTAGCATAATAGTACCTGTAACATTTTGTGCTTATGTAACTATAATTTTATATTAAATTAACTCAAAATTCAGAACTAAGCTAATCATTTTAATATTGTTCTCTTAATTATATTTTTTGTTGGGTTAATTTTACAAGCCATTTTGTGACAATAAGTTTGAAGTATAAAGCTCAACTGTGTTTTTCCAAAAATCACTTTTAAAATTGTACAACGTATAGTATTTAATAAGTACCTTACTTTTAAATCTAAACCCTAATTATAATATTATCACAATGGATAACCATTCATTTAAATATTAGTCAATAGAATCTAATAATTATTTAAATCACATGTAAAATAAAATATACCTTTATCCATTCAATTTTATGTACATAATTGAATTTAATATTTTTATTGAATACCCAGCTAAATATATTTATATATTTTTTTAATGTTTTATTTTCATTAGGTTATTAATAATGATAACTTATTAGGTATTCATAAAGTATAGGCAGTTTACTGATTTTTTTTTATACCAAGATACTCTTTTAATAGCTATATCTACTAAAATATAGTTATACATCAAAATTAGTTTTACAAACTTATCTATGTTTTTACAGTAGTCAATTTTACACTTATAAATTATAATTAATCTGGTTGTAATAACATATACCTACTTAGCCACTTAGGTAATCTATTATATCCATCTCATTTTAGTCTTATGGTAAAAAAAGTAAAATCAATAATCTCTATTATGTCTCAGTATCCACTTTTAATTTTAATATTATCATTACATAATAAAAATAGGTATGATATAAAATGTATTGCATTCAAAAATCCATCTCAACCTTAATTTCTCTTTAATTTGTTACTTAAAAGCCCATTAAATTTGTTTTTAATAGTAATTAATTCTAATTAATTATTCACTTGTTATTTGTTTCAATAGTCAATGAACATAACGTGAACTTAACGACCAATCGGTCGCAATGACAAAGAAATTTGAGTTCAATTGGCAGATCCCAGTTCCTGATGTGTTGCTACAAGGTTGTGTGTTCGACCGCTGGTCTGAAGAAAAAGACAATGTGGAAATTGAATATGGCTGTACATTCAAGGTTGATGAATATGGATTTTTCATCTATTGGAAAAGCGAAAATCGAGTAAATAATATTTTTAAATAATAAATATTCAATAATTTTTTTTTTTAATTTATTTGAATAATTTTTTCTTTTTAATTCTTTAAACATATTTTTTCTCAAAAATTAATTTTTTTATTAGATACAGTGACATTTAAATTACCACATTTATCTAGTTGTTTAATTTTATTTTGTTTTGTCTATTATCATTAATAATATAATATTCACCATTAATTAATTTATAATTGTAAATTAAATTTTTCTAAGTCTATTCCTCTATTTTTAGGATGGAGATGTCATTGAATTGTGTCAGGTCAGCGACATACGTTCTGGAGGATTACCCAAAGTAAGCTATTTTTGGAAAAATAAATCATTAACTTTAAAATATAAAATTATGAGATCACAATTTTTCACTTTTATGTTTAACCTAGTTTTGAACTGTCTTATAAAAATATGCCATACCAGCATATTATATTTTCTCCCTTGTACAAAACTACAACAACAAATTTATGTTAGTCAAACTAACTTTATGTTATTAACTTTTAAGTATGAATTTATCTTATATCAAATTTTATGATTAGAATATTCTCTGTTTATATGTTGGTTTATACAATATTTCAATTTTTAAATAAATCATGATTATGTAAAATATTACAGTATAAAAATACTCATCATAAGTTTAATAATTAGAATGCTATATATATAAAAAAAAAAAAAAAAAATTGGTATAAGCATAAATTATGTTCTTACTTATAAGTGATTATAAGAAATTCATTCAAATATTAAAGTAAACTACACAAAATTGATTCTGCTGAATGCAAAATGTATGTTATAGTTTTGTAAAACCGAGGAAATATAATGCAGGTGTGTAAAAACCCATATTTAATGTAAAATATTTTATTTTTAAAAATTTATTCCAGGATACTCGACAACAGCAGCAGTTGATAAATAAACATGGTGATACCTTGGAAGAGAAATCCCTAACTATATGCAGCAACACGGATTACATCAACATAAATTATCAGCATGTTATTTGTCCAGATGCTGCTACAGCTAAAGTAAACAATACTGAATAATTATATCGTTTAAAGCTATTTAATTTATAATATTATGTATTAATATTGAACTACCCAACAAATTATTCAAAATTATTATAATTATACTATTGCCTAATATCTTCATACACACCTTTAATATTATAAGTTAATTTAATGCAAAATTATAGAATAATTAAAACACTGAGTGTTACATGACATTACTTAACTAAATCTATACAAATTCTTTTAATAAATTAAATTTTGATCAATATCTTGATGTTTAAATCAATTACTTATATTTTTAAAACTGAATATTTAAGTTAAATATTTTATATTAATAATTATTTAAATTTATTAGTTTATTTTTCTGTATATTTATGTCTAAATAGTAACTGAAGAATTGTATTACAATTATTTACCAATCGATAACTCGATAAGCTATTATCCTCAGAAATCAATAGATTCTATTTAATTGGTTACATCATTTATCTAACAAAAATAATTTTAAAGGGATATAATATACCTCTTTATTTCTTAAATTTTTCATTTTCATGAATGTGATTGCAATCATCTATGTTAAAATAACAATTAAAAAAAATCTACTGAGATTTAATGAATAAAAGAAAAGTATATTCAATTTATGTTTACTATACTTGATATAACAAAACTTAAGTTTAATGAACTACATTTATTTTATTAAATTATTACATAGTATAATTAATAAATTTATATTAAATTTGAAATATATTTGTAATTCATTATTATGTGTATAATATAATTTTTCCTGTGTATAAAAATGTTTCTAAAAGCATAACTTATAATTACATTTTAGAAATTGGTTATTGTATTTAAATATCAATCTTTTAATTTATGATGTGTATATTTATCATTCATATATTGATATATACATTATCATCACTTTAGAAATCTTTATTTATTATGACGTAATTTTTATTTTTAAATCAAAAAAATGATATAAGTAACAAAGTAAAATGGCAACAATTTTCCAATTTAAAAAAATTTTTTTAATTAATGTAAGGAAATATATAAATGTATAATAATTTAATAACTATAATTTAATCTTGGTTTTAGTGTAGATAATATTAATCTTTAATTGCCAACTTTGTCAATGAACTTGTTCATAAATAATAATGTTATTATTATTTTAATAGTTTTAGAATTTTAAGTATTTGAAATTGTATTTAAATCATTTTATGATAACTGTTAAACAAATACCTAATTATTATGTATTTTTTATTTTAATAAAGCAATGGCAAGAAGGCCTCCGTAAAATCACACATAACAACAAAATGAACAATGTTTGTGTACGGACTAATCTTATGAAACAGTGAGTTGATAATAATTTATGTTATTATAGAATAAAATAAACCTAATCTGTGTCTTTAATTAATATTAATACATTATAGTTGGATGCGATTAGGCATGTTAGTGGATCCAAAAGGTAAAGTTCCTGTAAAAGTAATTGCTAGAACATTTGCTTCAGGTAAAACTGAAAAAATGGTTTACCAATGTCTGGCTGATCTCAACTTGCCCAGTGGAAAAGTATAAAAGATTTAAGGTTGAATAAAAATCAATTATATTTGTATTGATTTTATTATTTTAGAATGATACTATTGAGCCGTCAGATTTTACATTTGATAAATTCTATGAACTTTATCATAAGATATGCCCTAGAAATGATATTGAAGAACTTTTCCAGTCAATGTAAGTAATTAATTACTTATACAATTATTGTGTTATCTAAATGTATAAAAGTGTGTTGTGTCTTTCCTTTATTTTTTTTTTCACTTCAATACTTTAATATAAAATCATATAAACTTTTATACAATACGATTTAATCTTTAAAACTGCAAGGAACTCAAGCATAAATTTAAATTCTGAATATTTTGATAAATATATTATGTACATTATGCATTTAATAAATTAATAAAGTTACTTATAATTTTAAGAAATTTCTTAAAAGTATCATTTTATTATTTAGCATCAGATTAGTTGAGAATATGACATTAAGTATTTCAAAAAATTTTATCAAAATAATTCTTATTTTTTAACAAATTAAAAATTTTAAATATTATTTTTTATCTATTTTCCAATACTACATACATAATACTTTGTATTTTAGCACTCAAGGAAAAGCTGAAAATATCAGTTTGGATCAATTTATCACATTCCTAAATGAGAAACAGCGCGATCCTCGTTTAAATGAAATTTTATACCCATTGTATGATGAAAAGAGAGCAATTGAAATTATTAACGACTATGAACCATCTGAAGAAGTAAAAAATGAAAGTAAGTATTTTAAACTAAATTTTATCATAACTAACATAATAATTTAGAGAGGCTTCAAAACTTATCATGATACTACTCATTTTGAAAATGTTTAAACTTAAGCAACCACAAAATATTAATAACATATATATATAAGGCAATTATATTTTTATATAATTTTCGGTCAAAATAAAACTAAAATTTTTAAACAAATTGTATGTTTTAATACTTTTTATCGGTAGGATTTTTTATAAGTTTTACATTTTTTAATGATAATACAATATTTTAATATCATTTTTTGAAGATAAATAATTATTGGAGTATTTTAATATTTATAAGTTAATGTTCAAATGAGTAGTTTAGAGTTATAAGTATTTAAAATTTAGATAAGCTGAGTGGAAAGATACACAAAGATATCCTATAAAATGTTTGTCTACTATTCCACTTATAATTCATAAATTACTTGTCTGGATTTTAATTTAAATTTATTTTTAAAACAAAACGGTATAAATTAATTCTTCAAAAAATTATAAAAATATACAAATTTACTTAAAATGAATAATGTAACAATTTAAAAAAAAATTGTTTCTGTTAATTTTGATAACTTTTATCATGGTAATATGCAATATACTCGTAGGTCAAGAATCAAGGATTATTCCATAGTTACATAAAAATAACTTTTTTCAAATATATCTCAGTTAATAGATAATTAATATATGTTTATTTTTAATTATATTTTATTGTTTAGGCACATCATATTTTGTGAGATTGATTAAGTTATTTAAAAATATACAAATAATGAACTTTCATCATTCACATTTTTTTTAAATTCTTCATGTACAATACTTTTTTTTTTTCTGTGCTCTACTTATTTTTTCCATTACCTTCAATACTACACCATTTTGATCAGGAAACATAATTGGTTGATTTTTTAACACCTTTTTTTGCACTGTTTGCTGTCATGAACGTCACAAATCCTGGCACAATATCTGTAATAGATTCCAGGTTTTTTTCTGTTGCTATAACGCGTGCATTCACTACTTCACCCCACGCGCTAAAAAACTGTTTCAACTCATCAGAAGTTATGTTAACTGGAATATCTCCTACAAACAACTGATGACTAGTCGGAAGATATCTATTTTCCTTGTATTGGTATGTCTTTTTTTTCTCTTTAACGACTAACCACACTCCAGTTTTATCTGGATATGTTATTGGACGATTTTGTAATACTGCCTGAGTGGACTCTGATGTAGCAAATGTTACAAAACCGTAGTTCACATTTTTTGTCATGATCCTCAAGCTGTATAGTTGACCATACTGTTCAAAGAACTGACTTAAGTCCTGTGGTTTTGTATTTGCTGGTATACCAGTCACAAATAACTGATTACTTCTAGGCGGATATAACATTTTATCATATTGACTTAAAGAATACATTTTTTTATTAAATGTTTGGTTTTGCAATTTCCTAGTACATGTTATTACTTCTTCATTTTCTATATTGAGCTGTGCTCTGTGGTTTAAATAAAATAGTGTGTCATTTTTTATTATACACTCATCTTTGGTTTTATAATCCAGAACAATTGTCTGTGAGAATTTTTTCGGATTGTTATTATGTTCAGTCAAGTTACCAACAACAACTATTACTATATAATTATAAAGTTTTTGAGTGTTTACTGAAAGTATATTAGTATTACATCCTTTATAGCCCAGGTGAACCAAATAATCATGTATGTCTTTTTGGCCAACCACAAATTGAGTTTCAGTGGTCATGTTTTGATGCATAAATATTGAGTTTTTTTCATAATATTTACTTAAATTATGTGGACACTTACTGAGTGTTGTGTAATATTGACGCACAAAATTGTTGCCAAATATTTTGAGATCTAAATCAGCGTCCATATTCTGATTTATATTACTACATAATATTAGATTGTTCATTAATGATTTTAAGTTTTTGTAATTGTGTTTATATGGTTACATCCAATATATGAATTACTAACTTAATATTTAATTAAGGCCAACATAAGAGTAACAATAATAATTTTTTTAGAGCAATTATCAAAAGAAGGTCTCATTAGATATTTAATGTCTGATGAAAATGCACCAGTGTTTTTGGATCGATTAGATTTCTACATGGATATGGATCAACCTTTAGCTCATTATTATATTAATTCATCTCATAATACATATTTATCTGGACGACAATTTGGTGGTAAATCTAGTGTTGAAATGTATCGTCAAACACTTTTAGCTGGATGCAGGTAAGGTTATTTTAATAAAATTGAAACTTCTTTGTTCACTAAAATTAATTAATATTTTTTAAACCCTACCTTGAAAACCTATAGATGTGTTGAACTCGATTGTTGGGATGGTAAAGGCGAAGAAGAAGAGCCAATCATAACCCACGGGAAAGCCATGTGTACAGATATTCTATTTAAGGTATGGCTGTTATTTTCACTAATATGATGTAATTTATATTTTCCGAGATGAGCAGTTCATTTTCAAAACAATCTTGACCATAAAAACTCAATATTTATAATAAAAACATTTATAAACTATATTTATTTTAGCTATACTTAAAACAATTTAATTTAATTTTAAAAATACAGTTAAAATGTTTAAATATCATTAAAATTAGTAGTATTAAAAAAAAAACTGTTTACCTTAATTAGCTCCAAAATTTCAAAAACTTGTTTTTTTTTTTTAAAAGTTAAGTTAATATTTTAGTAAAATATTTTTTTTATCGTCAAATACTGAATAATCATTTTGATTTTTGTTTTGCAAGACTTTAATTTTTAAAAGATTGAAGTGATGATCATATTCATGGGCGTCCCCAGACATTTTTCTAGGGGAAAGGCAAAATTAATCTAAAAAATAAAGATTTATTTTTATACATTTTATTTATAGCACATTATCTTGTTTTGTCATTATTACAATTAAGTATTATTATTATACGTTTTATTTATAAAGTATTATTATGTTTAGTCAGTATAACATTAAATTATTACAATTAGGAAATAAATTTTAAATTCTAGGGTGGGGGTAAGTGCCCTGTCTTTCCCCCCCTAGGGATGCTCATGTTCATATTATATAAGTTATTTGAAAAATATCTTAAGTTCTATTTTTATAAAAATAAGTTAAGAACAATAAAAATTATCATTGTTTTGAATATTATCTTGAATGCTAATAACTACTTAATTTTAGATAATAAAAGATATTTTGTTTAATTACGTTTAGGATGTAATTTATGCTATTCGAGACACAGCATTTGTAACATCTGACTTTCCAATTATTTTGTCATTTGAGAATCATTGTTGTAAAAGTCAGCAATACAAACTTGCCAAATATTGTGATGAAATTCTTGGAGATTTATTAATGAGAGAATGTCTACCTGATTTTCCAGTAAGTTAATAATTGATTGTTGTTCTAATGCTTATAAATATTGTTTTCATAATATTTTACTTTTAAGTGTGATCCAGGAGTACCATTACCTCCGCCGTCATTACTTAAAAGGAAAATTATGATTAAGAATAAACGGTTAAAACCAGAAGTTGAAAAAAGTGAATTAGAGTTGTTTAGAAAAGGTCAATTTGTCATTGAGGATGAAGAAAAAGAAGATGCAACTGCAGTAACATCAAATCCACCTGAAGAAAAAAAGGTAACACTAGATTTCAAAGAATATTGGGTATTATATACTTTTATTACTTACCTATTATTATTATTTCTTAATACTTATTACTAATAATCATCCATAATATTATTTTTATAACAATATATTACTAGATTTATAAAATATTTAATTCACCTCTAAGTAGGTTTAAATTTGTAAATTATATCATTTATAAGATCTTTAAAATCTGTTGTTCAGGATGATAGTATGCCCATCACTTTTCTTAAAAATTCCAGTTGAATAATGGGATTTCATATTAATCTTAGTATTATATTTAGACTTCATGTGTCACCATGACATCAAATAGTTTAAGTATGGGTTTTGGCGTGACTGCATAAAGCAATGTTAATTTAATGTCAAATGTATGCTTTCTACTTATCACTATGTTCTTGGCATGGTTTTTTTTATTATTATTATAGATAGGTAAACAAATACTTTTTTCTAGATAGTAGAATACTAAGTACTAATATAATTCAAGTCAAATTTGCACATTAGTTACTTTAACTTTACCTCTACTTATAATAATTATTTTTTCACAAGGTTGAAGCTCCTGATGTGGGAACAGGTACCGAAGGTGCCGAGGCTCCACCACCTATACAGTATACTGGATCAACTACAAATGTACATCCGTGGTTATCTTCAATGGTTAATTATGCACAGCCTATCAAATTTCAAGGTTTTGATGTAGCTGAAAGTAAGTTTGATAATATAATATTTCTATAGTTAATTATCATAATATATATATATATATATTTATATATTAGAAAAGAATATTCATCATAATATGAGTTCCTTTGCTGAAAACACTGGACTTGGGTATTTAAAATCTCAAGCAATTGAATTTGTAAATTACAATAAAAGACAGATGAGCCGTATTTATCCAAAAGGAACTCGCGCTGATTCTTCAAATTATATGCCACAAGTAAAATTACGAATTTGTTATTTTAATAATATAATAATTTATTCATTTCAAAAACATATATTTCAGTTTTTAACAAATTTTTTTTCATTTTAGTATTAAAATAATGTTAATTTGTAGGTTTTTTGGAATGCTGGTTGTCAAATGGTGTCATTAAATTTTCAAACTGCTGATTTGCCTATGCAGCTTAATCAGGGAAAATTTGAATACAATGGTAACTGTGGATACTTATTGAAACCAGATTTTATGCGAAGAGCAGACCGAAGCTTTGACCCATTTGCAGAATCCCCTGTAGACGGGGTGATTGCTGCCCAGTGTTCGGTTCAAGTGATTGCTGGCCAATTTTTATCTGATAAGAAGGTTGGTACTTATGTTGAAGTTGATATGTATGGCCTTCCTACAGATACTATCCGTAAAGAATTTCGTACTCGTATGGTACCTAGCAATGGTTTGAATCCAGTGTACAATGAAGAACCATTTTTATTTAGAAAGGTAATTTGCACATTTTTATTATGCTGTGTACATAGTACGAGTATAATATAACTTTTAAATAAATTAAATATAATTTATGTTGTTTTGTACTATAGGTAGTGTTACCAGATTTAGCGGTATTGAGGATTGGTGTGTATGAAGAAAATGGAAAACTATTGGGACAAAGAATTTTGCCTTTGGATGGTCTACAAGCTGGCTATAGACATATATCATTGAGATCAGAAGCTAATTTCCCAATGGCTCTTCCTATGTTATTCTGTAACATCGAGTTGAAAATTTATGTTCCTGATGGTTTTGAAGGTGTGTTAAATATTGTATTCAGTTGTAATTTTTCCTCCAATAAGATGATAATACAATTTTTATTTTTAATAGTCAACAATAGTATGCACTCTTTATTAATTTAATATTTTGTCTTAATAGCCTTAAAAAAAAATTAAAATATAATATAAACATTATAAACTATTGAGTAGGTTTTGTAATTGTGTGAAAATAGGATGCCTTTAAATTAAACGCCTAGTAATATTTAGAACCTAATTTATTATATTATTATATTATTTATAAACTTGTTCTGGGATGGGTAATACGTGTGGAACGAGTTTTATTATGAAAAAATTGCGCATAAGGTAACCACATAGCTGAGAATTAGATCCTGAATGCGGATGTTGATAATAATTATAATTGAATTAATCCTTAGTACTTTGAAAACCTGTTCTGCGATACTGTTGGTCGGTGGGAACAACTAGAATATTATAATATTTCTGAGTGAAACCGTCTAGAAACTACACACCCATGTGGCCATGTCTCATACTCGCATTACACTCCTCAACCACCATTGCCACCACTCTTTCACGAATTATTATTACGACGAGTTAGGTACATTAATATAATACCTATATTATTATTATTATTTTAAATAAAATTATGATACCTAACTATTACACGTAAGTACTAAAGTACGTAGTTTTCCTGCTGTTATGTCATTATGTGTATTATACCGTTTATGCACACGTTAAAATTACTATAAAAATTAGGAAGTTCCGATAACTGCTGTTATTAAAGTCGTAGAATCAGTTGGCCACGTTTTCACAAAAGTGTGTAACGATCGTCGCGTTGAAATCACTAAATACATAAAAAAAAAAAAAAACTCCATTTATAACACCAATTGTCAGACGGATATACCGGTAGGATAATCTTTTAAATTGTTTCTCGAGTATAGTTAATTACTTTAATATTTTACCTTTTATAATTATATTGTAGTGATTTACGAATATTCGATCCAAAGTCTATACCTTCTTCTAATCGTTTTTTCCTCATTTGTCAAGTGAATATGTAAATCATTATTTAAAATTCAATTTACATCTACACGTAGAGAATAAAATATTTTAATAAGAAAAAAATTATCTTGTTTTAAACTTTTAAGCAACGTCTTGAGATTTTTTTTTTCAGCAAACCAAACAAAGGTATTATTAGGATTCTTGAAAAATAATTTTACTCATATTACTCTTAACATGTACAATTCGGTGATCGTCTTATAATTTTCAATGTTGATTTTCAAATGATCATTTCTTTTAAACCGATTAAAAATTAATCGAGACTAGACCATGTATTTCTTAAGTATCGAAATTTCGAAAATTTATTTTCATTGTAACTAAAGAGAATCTTTATACTAAATTCTCTAACAACAACCATTTGTGGTTTTTCGATTCCAATTGTATCATATTAATTTTTATTTGTGTATATATACATATACAATATAAATTATACGTATATCATATATTTTATTCTTATTTTTGAATTCAATATATTTATTGACATAAATATAAATATTGTTACTGTATTAATGTAATACCTTATAAATAATATCAAAATAATCGACATCGACGAAAATACGTAGGTTATATATAGCTTCATGTCGAGCGATGATCGTGATTCAATCAGACATTCGATTAATAAAATTAAATGTGATTTTGAAATCATATATTTTTGTTATTGTTTTCATTTCATTATTATTCTTGCAACAATTGTTAACGGGATATTCTAATATTTTAACATATTATTAATAAAGTAGGTATTAAAATATTAAATTTAAAAAAAATGTCTATGAGAGATGTGTATTTATTTTAACTTAAAAGTTAAATTTTTATATTTAAGAGATACTGACGAAATCGGAAATTATTTTAGCTTTATTTTTAATTTTTTTAATTTAAGCCATCCTAGTGTATTGCTTAATATACTGTAGTGCAACAATAATTAAATGTTTTATTATTTTTGTCATCAGATCAATTTTCGACTGTAGTACAATATCGAGTTAATCCTTTATTTTTTTGAATAATTTTTATTTTTAAGCCCATCAACTATTTAAACATTTTAGTCTTAAAGTTTAATATGAATAAGTTATTAATAAACATTTTTTTTATAATATCTAACTTTTTTTCATTGTATACTTTGAAAGATTAAATAATCTTAAAGCATTATTGAATATATGTAATTATTCATAATTATTTTTATCATTTATGTATGACAAAGGTAATAGTGTTAATTTTTAACAGCTATTTCTTGTTCAATAGGTGCTGATAATATAATTTTTATATATTAATTAGAAGAAATTGATAAATGTTTTTGTTTATAATTTTAGATTTCATGGCAGCTTTATCTGATCCAAGAGCATTTTTGTCAGCACAAGAAAAGCGTGCACAACAAATGAAAGCTATGGGTATCGAAGAAACCGATATTAATACCAAAGATATTTTAGCTGGCAATGCAGGCGAAGGTGAGAAGACTGGTAAAAAGGGGAGCAAAAACAAAAAGTCTGATGAACCAAAGAAAGGTGAGTATTAAAATATAAAATATCTTTTGCTTTGCACTTTGTTCTTAACCATATAATGTTGATCACCCTTCATAGGGCTCTATTTCCAATCTCTTCTTTAATTACATTAGTTTTTTTCATGTTTTTCTCTATTCTGTTTATTTATCTTATTATTCAATCTTTCTCTCTCTCTTTCCTTTTATATTAATTTCTTTAATCATTCTCACTACCACCGTTGCATCTGCTCTTCTCATGACATGATCAAACAATATTATTTTGTTGTAGAAGAAGAACTGAAATTTGAAAATATAAACCTCGAGTACCTTAGAAATGACAAAGGATTTCAAAAAGCAAGACGAAAGCAAGAAAAAGAATTAGAGACTTTACGCAAGCGACAAGCTAAAGAAAAGTCCGCTATACAAAAACATCAATGTACATCTGTAGAAAAAGCTGTTAAAGGCAAAGAGTGAGTGAAATTATATCATTAAATGAGACAAATTTTTAATTTTTTAACATGGTATGATGTTTTAGCAAAACTGAAGTAATCAATGATGGTGGTGTTAAAAAACTGGTGACTGAGCAAATGACTCAGTGGTCTGAAATGGTTGAACGTCATAGGCGAGAGAAATGGGCATTACAAAAACAACAAGCTACTGAACAACAGGATGCCCTTTTAAAACTTATGGAGAACCTACAAGCTGCACAAATGAAGCAGTTAGAAGCTCGACACGAAAAGTATGATTCAACTTATATACAGTAGTCCTAAACACACATTACGATTAAACTTAATGGGAATTTTATTGCTTACAGAGACTTAAAAGAAATGAACACTAGACAAGCAAAGATATCTGTCGAAGTGATGAAAGAGGTAATGAACGATAAGACGTTGAAGACAAAAGGCGACAAAGACAGGCGATTAAGAGAAAAGAAACAAAACAACACAAAAAAGTTCATGGATGAGAGGAAACATGCTCAGGTAAAAAGATTTGCTAAATTTTTCATGAGAAATGAGTTAAAAGTGAATTGAAAACAATACTTTTCTGGTTAATATTATACTGAAATTTAATGTTGTAGATTAAACAAGCTAAAGATAAGGATAAGTTGCAGGCGAAACACGAGAAGCAAAAACAAGAGTTGATTAAAGAAATAAACAATGTATGTTTTAATGTTACCCGGTTTAAACTCGACTTATTGTTGTTGTCTTTTCATATAATCTTAGATATTCGATCTGTACGTTTTAGCTTTTGGAGATGTACAAGAACGAGGAGATCGAGTACGAGCTGAGCAACAAGACTGAGTTTTTCGTATGATGCCACAACAACGACGTATCCGAATAATGACTCGCATGTCGTTGCTACGGCTATCTTTCATGCCCAAATTATTATGATTTATAATAGATTAAATTGTTTAATGTTTATACATTTTTCATTTAGTAACAAAAATAATTATAATATTAACTATATAATTTTCTAGTGTAAAATACATGTTCGGTAGACCCAGTGTAATGTACTATATTTTGAAAAGGTCAACCTAGTCAATCCTTTCTGACCGTCATTCTTTGGCATAGAATAATGATAACTTTCCAGTGGACATTTTTTAGTGTTAACATAGTAATGTTGTTTTAGTTATTAATCATAAATTCTATAGTTAAAATTATTGTTATTAAATATTTATATATTAAATTCTTTGGTTGAAACTGTTTTTTCCTTTTATTTTATAGTTAGAACATTTTATTTTTTTTAAATTTTTTTTTTTGTTCTGTGTATAATTTTAAGTCATTGATTGTATTTTATTTTCCTAATTTGATGTTTACTTATTTGTTGGCTAGTTTTTTAATATTATACTATTTAATGAGATAATAAATAAAAATCTTGTTTTAATTCAACCCTATTCTGTATGGCAATATAACTTAACTGAGATTAATTAACAAGATTGAAATTGATTATGCTTGAAATTTCACTTTGATAAATTAGATTTTAATGAATGTATTTTCGTGCAAACTATCAATAATTTAAAATCATATAGACAGACATCATACAAGATATAATAAATATTGTGTTATCCTTTTATTTTATACAATCTATAATGTAGTGACCATCTTCTGTAATGACCTGGGAATCTACAAATAAAAACTTTAAGAGGGATTCCATAGGTAATGAATTTTCTATATTGAATCGTTCATCTCATACACCTCAATTTTTAAAATGTGTATCTATCTAATTCAAAATTAAATTTAGATAAGCAAAAAAAAAAAACATTACCTTAAGATAAAAAATACATTTTACCAAAAATTTGTAAAAGAAATATCTTTTTAAATTTAATTATTAATATATACTTATATATGTATAGAAGTTTATTATTGAGTGACAAATTTTTATTATTTTGGAACAAAAACTACATTAAATAAAAAAATAAATATATTATTTTAAAACGTAACTGAATAAAACTTTTGAGTTAAGAATTAGTGTGAAGGACTATCTTTACTCTTCAGTTAGATATAATAGTTTAAAACCAGAAATCGATTTAGAAAACTAACCTATTATTGGCATCCCATGCGAAAATAGTATGCGCATACCTATGGTGTGCACTTATCCACGTTTTATACACAATAGTCATTTCCCGTTTTCGCTACCAGTTATTGAACAGTTTTCCGCAATGAGATTAAAATGGACCTTTGCATCATGCCAATCGTATAGAATATCGGGAAAATGCGAGTTGAGTCCCAAGATATTTGATGTTGATCCCTTAAAAAAAAACACGAGTTGGATCCACGGTGTTATTCGATAATACTCAAATTGGGTACGCGGTATTTTAAAAGAAAAGATACTTTTTTTTACTAGTGGAGAATTGATCCGGTTAAATTTTGCAAAAGAAGTATCTTTTAAATTTATTCCCTAGCTTTTATTAAGAAGAAAAAAATACTACTACATTAATTTAATTTGTAATTTTTAAGAATAAAATAAAGTTATGTTTTATAATAGCGTGTAAATTATAACTGTATGAAAACATATTTAATGCGATTTTTGCTGTTGGATTTTGTTCACGATTTTTTCGATTTCTACATCAAAATTACTCGTGTCAACTATATTAAATGATGGAGGTGGTCATCAGTTAATCATGATGGAGTGGATTTTTAATTTTTTTCGTGCGAGAAAAGGCCTGTTCATATACACACGTTGATCCAAAAATGCTTAAGTATTTTGCAGCTATTATTTTTATTTTTATAAATTCTGAAGGGAGTTTAGCAAAACACAGTGAAGGTGAAAGTTTGAAGAATAAATTTTTAAGAGTATCTTGTGATTGTAAATCTTTCATTTCCATTTGAAGATTAACAGGAAATTCATTAATATTTATATTAAATGTATTTGAGAGCAATGTTAAATATTATGAGCATTGTTTAAAATTTTGAAAGCGTTTATTAAATTCATATTGAAGTATTGAAACACCTTCAACAAACTTAAATGTCAAAAATGAGAATTTCGACGATTCAAACAGACTTATACAGCTATACATACTGGAAAATATGTTAGTTAATTTATTTCAGTAAAGTACACACTAGAGTACTGCGAGTTTTTATTCGAAAGAAAAAAAAAGTCTTGAAAATTATGATTATATACAAAAATAATTTATGATAAAAAATGAATCGTATTCATCTAATTAAGGGGGTGGATGGGTGCTTTAGACCCTCTCTCTTTATCGCTTCAGTATAGTTGCACCTATATGCTGCGGATGTTTATGATTTACGCCCTACTCGTTGCATAACGCGTTAAGCCGATAACCGAATAATAGAGTAAAACTGTTATGATTTAATACAAAATACAATATATCATGATGCCTGTGTGAACGCTTGCGTGCGTGTGTGTGTTTATAAGACGTATGAGTGTGCATCACTAAAACTACAGGTTTATATATTTAATTATTTACCTATTATTATATCCTTACAGTCAGATGTCAAATATTAGTTTAGTTTAGACGATCCATCGGAACTATACCTACGTATTATACCTTCTACAGTATACAATACTGCGATGTACACACAATGTGCACAATATCGTACACAATATATATTAATATATTATATATAAGTGTATAATAAACTGGTATGTCATATTATCATATCGTGCAACATGATATACCTGTTTAACTGATGACATAATGATGTGTGTACGTAAAAACCAGACGATTTTGAGTTATTCGCAATTTGCACAACAGTTGTTAATGTTATTATACACAATAGATGGACTATTCTTCATTTAATAATTAGTATATAGTATATATAGCCAAAAAATAATTGATATTTTGTTGTATAAAATATTAACAAATTAAATCCAAAAATAATTACTTTTATCGATGCATATTCTTCAGTTGATTGACTGATTGGAAAAGTCATTAGTCTTTTACCCCCATTACACGCGGGGCCCTTTCTTACAGACTGGTTTTAAATTTCCTTCTTAATTTTATTTGATATTTTGATTTTAGTTCTAAATAAAATATGTTCTAAGGCAGAAAAACCTACGATACTTCAACACTATAATGAAGCTCGATTAGTGTGTAGAAGGTAAATAAAGACTGATGAATTAACACCTCATACCTATACGGCTATAAGCTTATATTATTGTATAGCCTTATATTTTGAATTTTCCTTATTTTTTTTCAATAATTTTCCAATACTTTACTTCAATGTTTGAATGAGTATTTTATTTTTTTTTCAAATACAAATAGAAACAACTGCCGAGTTTCCAACTAATTTTGATTCTATTGCAGATATACATAAATATATATTACAATCAAAGCTGTTAATTAGGAAAATACATAGTTTGCCGGAAAATGTCGTCAAGAAGTAATAATCACATCGATACAATTATATAAAAGGTAAAAGGAAATGTTTTTCAAATAATCCGTTTTTTATTGATGTTTTCATCTTTGATCCGTGATCGACTGATTAGGTATGTGGTATATAATAATAATTAATAAGTAACTATAAGCTGATAATAATTAATCATCTATATAGTTTTTATCACCACTATGGGCACTATGGCATTTAAAATTGAATAGTGTGTATATTTTTTACTTTAACAGCCAGTTTTGCAGTTACATCTTTTAAATCCCAGCTGTACCTTATATAGATAATTGTCTGATTTTTGTCATGCCGCTTCGGGAAAAGAATATTTTTCAGATTTGAATTTTTTCCATTGCTTTATCTAGTTCTAAGAATTTATGCTGACAATACGCAACTGGGCTTTTGCCTACTTATGTTTCAGCATTCAACACGTCATATTCTAAGGCTAATTCGGCTGATTTATTGATGTAACCAATGTGTTTTACTTGTTAATAAAAATTAAATTCAAATTGACTTTCATAGTTAACACGAACATGTCATTTTCATACGAGCTAATAATTGTGAGAAAATCACGTGAAGAATTTCAAATTGTATCGTTTTAGTTATAGGTACCTACTTAAAATTTGCAAAATAGTTGACGGATCAACTATGATTAATAAATAATAAATGTCATGTATAGATTATGTAACATACTTATCTGGAACACGGATAGAGTTGTACATGCTATATAGGTATATAGCCATACAGTTAGGTACTTTGAGCACAACGAATATTTTGTTCGTCAATTTTAAAATTTTTATCAGATAACAAGTTGGATTGTATGATATAATAATAACTGTTCTGCCAATGAATCGTTTGATATTGAATATTAATAAATAAATGTTTAAATATAAATGTATTTAATAATAAAGACCGGAATGACCGGGTAATGTGTATTATTACAAAATTTTCCAATTTTCTAGGGAAATTACGAAATTTCCCGATCATTGAAATGATTACTGATTAGTAATCACTGATTACCACATTAATGCCTTTACTCGTAACACATATTTTAATCAATTTTTAGAGTTAGACTATTTTAAGTATATAATTTCCTAATCATCACATTCCTTAGCACACATATTTACTGAAGCCGTCTGTAGATATACCAATTTTATTTTACTATCGCAGTGTACCAAACTCTTTAAATCTAAAACGGAACATGTCAAGACAAAATAAATAATTAGTTTCGGGTGGCACAAATAATTATTAAATATTAAATGAATCAATGGCGAGTTAATAATGGACCACAACATGTGTGGCCATGATTGGTTATAAATTTTAATGGACCATACAATTAATCATTTTTTTTTTTTTATGAAATACTGCATTAGACACGTATAACTCAATTGACACTGTTATGTTTAATAAAATCTAAGTTTCTAAAAGCCTTTTCATAAACAGTTTCCATATAGTTTTTAAAAATAAAGTTAGACGATAAATTTATACCAAGATCTCTAACCTCTAACCGTAATTTCATAGTCAACTAAATTACTGCGGTATAGAATAGGTAAACATTTTTGCATTGGAAAGTTATTTGTATACATATACGTATTTGTATCAAGATGCACCCCATTGTCTAAGCATTCTGAGCATCACGCGGAGAATCTGTTTAGGTCTT